CAAGGTCTTGCACACACGCAGAGCACCCACAAGCAGGATCCTCTCCAGACCCTGCTCCAGCTGGGTACAACAGGCTAAGGAACCGCTTGGTTATGTAGAAAAGTTTTGTCAAGACCTCCATCCCTCTTCCACCAGTTCTGTTCAAGGCTGCAAACTGACCTTGGTTTTCTCAAAGGATTGTTGGATCTGTTTTTGATGTGTATATACAAAGAATTTACTGTGGGAAAAGGGCTTGGTCTACCTCAAAGTGCAATTTGAGTGTTTTTCCTTCTGTTGTATATTTATCTATCCATCTTAGACAAAGAAATGTTCATGACATATATTGCTTTGCCTTTTGGTGGAGGCAGGGTTTTTTGTTTGTTTGTTTGTTTTTTTTTCATTCTTTGTATCTTGTGGTAAGTGGTCTGTGCTGTGGACACTCTGTCCTGGTAGACTTAAAATATGTTGTTGTTGTCAGATGAAATAGGCTTTGGGGCTTCATTTCCTAACTTTATCCCCAAATGAAAGTCTAAAATGCAAATCTTTAAAAATATATTTTTATTGATTTCAGAGGGAAAGAGAGATAGAAACATCAATGATAAGAGAGAATCATTGATTAGCTGCCTCCACACACCCACATTGGGGATTGAGCCCGCAACTTGGGCATGTGCCTTGACTGGGAATTATAGGTAGACATTCAACCACTGAGCCACGCTGGCCAGGCTAAAATGCAAATCTTTGTCATAGGATTAGCCCTTTGTCTGTGGCCTGATCTTTTTCTCTCCCCTGGTGATCCAAGTACTGTTGATATGCTGTTTATCTTTTTTCCACATTTATTTTTTTTAATAAGAGAAAGTTTATTTAGAAAGTCACAGAGGTAGAAGAAGTGAGCTATGGAAATGACAAAACCAGGAAGAAGCAGTGAGGGTCCCTGGCAGGGCTACATCCTAGGTCAGTGATGGCGAACTTATGACACGCGTGTCAGAGGTGACATGCGAACTCATTTTTTTGGTTGATTTTTCTTTGTTAAGTGGCATTTAAATATATAAAATAAACATCAAAAATACACATCTTTGTTTTACTATGGTTGCAAATATCAAAAATTTCTATATGTGACACGGCACCAGAGTTAAGTTAGGGTTTTTCAAAATGCTGACACGCCGAGCTCAAAAGGTTCGCCATCACTGCCCTAGGTCCTGGGCCCTCACCCCTGACCAGTAGGCAGGAAGGCAGCCATGTGACTGTCTGGGGTCCTGCTCCCTGATTGCTTCTCGTCTTCATTGGAAAGTGCCCATTCTCTCCTGGCCCTCCCTCCAGCACTCTCACCATCCCCATCTTTATCTCTAGAGCCAGAGGAGGCTGTTTTCTCTCTCTTCCCACCTCTTTCCCCAGCTCTGTCTTCATAGTCTGAGTGGTAGGAAGGAGTGCCAAGTGCCAGGGGATAGTGTTTGGCTCATCTGCACAGGAAGCTCCTGATCATGGCTTTGGCCTGCTGGTGCAATGCCCACCAGCATTCCCACCACCAAGGGTTAAAGCCCAGGAGCCCCACAGCTTCCCTGCATCCATGTCCTCATAAAAGCCTTTTCTGCATAGCCCCTGGGCTGCCTCAGGCTCCCTGGCAGAAATCTGATAAGGGTCCTTTTTGTTGGGACTGTCAGTCTCTTTTATTGAAGAGGGAACTGGAGAACAGCAGCATTTCTTGGGGTTGGGATACTGATAAGGCCCTGGATTCCTGTCAGAGGGAGGGTGGTTAATTACTCTGAATCCTGGCTCTTGCTTTGATACCAGTGACTGACAGTTCACAGGCTTCCCCATCAGGTGCTCATGCCCCTTCTGAGAGGCTAGATGGGGCTGAGATTCAGCCTCCTGCTAGGCCAACACTAGTGACCTGCAAGGAGCTCTTTGCATTGGCGGTTTGCTTCTTTCCTGGTTCTAGGCAGGATGCTCTTGTATTTGTCATGGAAGAGGTCTGTCCCCTCTCAGGTGAAGAGCCTCCTTAGTTACAATCCAGCCAGAGAGCAGTCCTGAGACAAAGAAATGAGCCCCTTCCCCTCAAGGCTGGGAAAGAAACATTGCTTGTGGCCTTGAACTTCACAGATGGTCCTAAGCCACCCAAAGCTCTGCACAGAAGATCCCAAACCCTCCATCTCAAGGTCACTTGGCAACATTATTTCATAATTCAGGCAACTCCTAAAATCAGGTCACCCTCCCTTTGGTAATAATCACAACTATCAATTTTTGTTTTTAAGTTTTTATTCATGGTCTCATAGGACTTTAGAGCTGAAAGGCATCTAATCCAAAATCGTCATTTCACAGATGGAGAAAATGAGGCATGAATATTTCACTTTCCCACCCCCACACCAGTATGATGTATTGTTCTCTTTTTTATTCAGGCAGGGTAAACTCAGCTAAAAGGCCTCTCCCCGTCTCTCATTATAGTTGAGTCTCCTTGGAACAAAGGAAATGGCTACCACGTCCATTAGGGACAGAGCAGACTGCAGAGACAGACTATCCTGAATGTCTTGCTTCTCTCTTAGTTGTCAGGAGAATGAGGCCAGGGCAGGATTTGTGTCTGGATTATCTGGATAATGTGAGAAAACCAGACCGTTGTCCAGAGCTTGTGCTTAGAGTAGGCTCAGCTTTGTTTCTCACAGTTCCAGGGTATCCACCTGCACTGGGAGGTACTTTTAGCTGTTTTGCAGAGGGCCAACCACAATGAAGAATGCACTCCTTTTCCTCATCCACTAATCTCTGGAGCCACACACGGCCTGTGTGAGGAAACACAAGATCCTTGTATGCCCAGAGTAAGGCTGGGCCAGCGCAGATGGTACCCTCCACCAGGGTTCCAGTGCAGCCCTAGCCTGTGATTTCTCTGCGAAGGTGCTGGGAAGAGGTCACTTTGGTTAGGTTTATGGCCTTGACTTCAAACGCCACTTTGCCCCTTCCTTGCCTTCTCAGGTCTAGTCTCTACCTTTTGTTTCCTTTGCCCCCAAACAGTTCTAAGCCGAATACAGTCACACTCTATGTGACTATAAAAAGGTGAATTCTTAATGAAATTTCTACATCTATAACATTGTTGTCTTTCAAAGAAGCCATTTCAGATGGCTAGATGTTTAGTGCAGTGACTATTCAGAGTAAATTTACAATTCCTCTCTGGGAGTTGGCCTTCAGAGGCAGTTGGGTGCATGGATAAGAGGCTGCTGCAGACATCTCATTGGGAGCCAGTGAGGGCCTGGTCCAGTGTGGTAGCTGCAGGCTGGAAAGGAAGACACCTTTGCAAGGTACCTCAACGGAAGAATCAGTGCAGCTTCCTAACAACCTAAAGGTTGGTGATAAAGGAGAGAAGAGGAGTCAGTGCTGCCTCAGCTTCCTGCCTAAAACCTCAAAGAATGATGTGTTGTTGGAAGAAAGAAGTAATGGGAAAAGGGAACTAGCTTAGGGGATAAAGGTGAGCTCATTGCAAACACTCTGACTTGGAGTGAGCAGGTCACACGTGAAGATGTCCTGGAAGCTTCTGGAAATATGAGTTTAGGGGGCCTATGTGAGGGGACCTGTGAGTGGTCTTCATTGAGTCTCCAGGCAATGCCATGGGGGGAGGGGGATGACCTCGCCAAGGCCTTCAGTGAGCTTAGGCAGACAGGCGTCGAGAGGAGATGGACCTTGGTCCTATGCTGCCAGGAGATTAGCTCTGCTGCATCCTCAGACTCTTGTCTTATGACAGGAGTAAGGTTGACTGTTCAGAACAGCACAGAGAGAAAAGTTAACTAACATACAAGCTGTGTCTTAGGAACATACCAGCAATCCTTGAGAGTTTACCTATGAGATTTTGAATCTAATTCTATGACTTCTTTGTCCTTGACCCTCCAAAGACTGCTTGGTCAAGACAAAGGCCTTGGAGGCCTCTCCCTCCCTCCCCACACTGATAAAGAGGCCTGGTCTTGCCATAACAGTTCCACTTGTTCATGCTCACGCTGCTTGAGTTGGTGAGGCCAACATTTCAGGGCTGAGAAGAGAATGCCATTCCTTGAGGGATAAGAAGCAGGAGGAGCCTAAACAAACAGCCCGTCTCTAATCCTGCTGGCCCAACATCTACCGGGCAGTCAGTGAGGTTGGGACAGTGGGAGGGGCCAGAGGAGGAGCAGCCTGTACAGTACAAGGAATTTGCCATTAAAAGGCAACAAGTCTCATACGCTGCCCTGGACCGTGACCCTTCCCTTTGGAATTCTCCCCTCTGACCTCCAGATCATTAATCCGAAGGCTGCCAAATGACAGTCATCCATCACGCCTCCTGACTAGTGCCTGTGAAAGGCACTTGGCTCCACCTTCCCTGCATCCCCCCCCCCCCACTCATTAGTGGGCCTTCCTGCTCAGTGCCAGGTTTCCTAGTCACAGCTCTGGCTCCTCTTACTTCCCTTCAAGGCCAAGGGGTGGAAGCTGCCCCTCCCTTTCAAAGGCCAGAGAGGGGGTGGAGTGATTAGTGAAGAGAGAATTGTTGAGTGGCTTTTCACTGCCCTGGAAACTTGTGTTTCCTGCAGCTCCTTTGATATGGCGGGGACACAGCAGGAGAGGAAGGAGGAAGCAGTTATCCAGGGGGATGAACCAGGCAGGAGCTCCCCTGTCAAGGGAGTCAAGGCTCCTTGAGAAGGGGCTGACTGGCACGTGAAGGCTGCAGAGGAGTGAGCTGCCACATCATTAAGAAAGAATCTGGACTCAGTACTGCTAGGAAAATTAAAAAATCCAGTCCAACCCTCTTATTTGTAGATGGAAAACAGATCCAGAGATGCTCCGTGTTTTACCCAAGGCCACACAGCCTGTGAGTAGGACCTGTCTTTCTGTTCATCCCAAGAGAAGTGGCAGCTAGTCTGATAGCTTCTAGGCTTTGGGAGTTTGAGTTAAATTATACTTCTAAGCAGATTCATGAACACATTTCCAACTGAACAAAAAGTGGGCATACACAGGTGTCTTTTTTTCTCTGCTTGAGGATGATGCAGCCCTCTGTTTCTCTCTTTGGACAATCACAGGGACCCCTATCAACCGAATCCCTATCATGGCCAAGCAGATCCTAGACCTGTATATGCTGTACAAGCTGGTGACAGAGAAGGGTGGCCTGGTGGAGATCATCAACAAGAAGATATGGAGGGAGATCACCAAAGGCCTGAACCTGCCCACATCCATCACCAGTGCCGCCTTTACCCTGAGGACCCAGTGAGTGGCCAGGGCCTTGGGGAAAGGAGACTGAGACTGGAGAAAGGGAATGTTTCAACTTAGAGGAGAGAAAGGAAGAAAATTCCACTGTACAGTGAACAAGATGTGTGGGATTCCTGAGACAGCCAGGAGCTTTCTGAGGTGAATCCCTCACTAGACCAAAGTAATGATGAGAGCCGTCATTTCCCGAGTGGCTGCATGCTGCTGCTGCAGCATTCTGTTGCTTTCATAACACTCTGGAAGTTGCTCTGTGACGAGCAACTGACATACCAGTTAGGTAGCATGTCATGTCCTTGTTGAAAAGTTGAAAGGGTTTATCTATTGGAACTGTTCCAGCAGAAGTGGGGGATAGCGCCAAACCAGTATAGCAGGCCTTCTTTCAAGGTACTTGGGTAGAGAATTGCCCCTGTCTGACCAGCCTGACTTGGGATGATTAGGAGATAAGGAGCAAGACAGTCATGTCATAGCACTGGCTTGGTTTCTACCAGGGTTCTAAAAAGGTGCCAAAATGACCATTGGCGGAGTTGCCCTTTATTTCCCTTAGTGAATGATGCCTCCACTTTGAGCAGTGCTCAGAACTGAGTAGCAGTTAGAGGGGCCTGGACCAGGGCGGTCAGCAGTCCCAGGCTTTCTCTTCCGCTGGGTGCTCCAGGTGGTGGTCCTCTGTCCTAGAGGCTACTCCCACAGACCACACAGCTCAGACGGGCAGTCTCTGGTGCATGTTTTGATTACCCTTGCTTGCTTCCTTCCTTCCAGGTACATGAAGTACCTATATGCTTACGAGTGTGAGAAGAAAGCCTTGAGCTCCCCAGCTGAGCTCCAGGCAGCCATTGATGGCAACCGGCGGGAGGGCCGCCGGCCCAGCTACAGCTCTTCCCTCTTTGGCTACTCGCCCACTGCCACGGCTGCTGCCACCAGGGCCCCTGCCCTTCTCTCCACACCCAAGATCCGCTTCCCTGTCCTTGGGCTGGGCTCCAGCAGTGGTACCAGTGGCAGCAGCCCTCGGATACCCCCAGCAACTACTCTCAGGAAAGGTTTGCAGGGCTCTGAAGGAGGGGGAAGGAGGGAGGAATGGTGCCAAGTTTCTGTGTGTAGGACCTGGGTGGGAGGGTGGATTGTGGGTCTGTCTAGCTCTGGTGCCTTTGCCAGGTGATGGAGTCCCGGTGACAACAGTACCTGTGCCAAATCGTCTGGCTGTGCCCGTGACCTTGACAGGCCAGCAGGCTAGCACCCGGATGGCCACGCTGGAGCAGCTGCGGGAACGGCTGGAGTCAGGAGAGCCCCCTGAGAAGAAGGCTTCCAGGCTGTCGGAGGAGGAGCAGCGCCTAGTGCAGCAGGCCTTCCAGCGCAACTTTTTCAGCATGGCCCGGCAGCTACCCATGAAGATCCGGGTCACCGGCAGGGGTGAGTGTGGCTTGGACCCTTTCAGGGGCCCATCACATCCCATAGGACTGGAGTGGCGCTCCTCCAGATAGATCTCAGTTCACCAAGCCAAGGTC